CTTCATATAATGTATGTTCTTCTTCTTCTTCTTCTTCTTCTTCTTCTTCTTCTTCTTCTTCTTCTTCTTCTTCTTCTTCTTCTTCTTCTTCTTCTTCTTCTTCAAGTTTCAATCCGAAATTCAGCCAAAACCAAGTCTAATCTTCACCAAAATCCCTCAAAATTGAGATATAAACTCCAAACCATATTCCCAATTATTTGCAACAACACCCAATTCAAACAAATAATGATTTTTGAAAACCCAAATTTAAATTCAAAGCTTCAAAGCTTTTTAATGGTTGTCAATGGTGGAATCGCTGCTCTCTTTTCCTTTGCTTTGTATTACTGAAATTTGGACATAATTGCGTTTGATGTAGAAGAATTGTAGAAGATTTGGTCGTTTTTGATTTGTAAAATTAGAAAAAAAGTTTGAAACACAGTGTATCGAAAAAGAAGAGACGCTAAATTTGAAACGAAACTGACGAAGAAGATTAATATGCGTGATTTGCGTTGTGGAAGATCTGGAAGAATATTTAATCCCCCAATTTTAGTGCACCTAAATAAGGGAGCCTATAGCTACAGTGATTCCTTATTTAATGTATTGTCTATATTTTGTAGAAATACTATTAGCATGAAGTGTAATATGTAAATTATGAACATATTTGGTAATATAGTTTCCTATATGGTATAGGAACGGAAATTTCCCTTTTGGTATTCCATCTTCTCCCCTTCCCCCCATCTAGGAGAAGAACTAACCTAAATAGAAACTCACCCACACTTTTAAACTAAAAATAGATGGTGTATATAATATAGGAAATCTTACAGAAATGCCTCAAATAAGTCTTAACTTACCAACCTCTAGCTATTAATCATAAATTTATCAAAACTAGTTCATATAAAAATTGAAAACCTACATAAATAAGTTTCTTTCTCTCCAAGAATTACATGCAAAGATCTCCCTCCATATCTTTAAGCTGATCAACATTAGATGACAGAAAGAAAACTTCATGGATGAGGTAACAAATAAGGTGATGAAATACAGAAAAATATAGCTACAAGATTACAGAAATCTAAGCAAAAACTAAAGTTTTATAGATGGGTATGGTTGAAATTCATTGAAAACACATAGATGAGTCAATATACAAAATTTAAGGAAGATTGGAGATGATTTGGACTGATTTGGTATCAAAATTCGTAGTTAAAATCGAGTTTAAAATATTCTTCTGTGACACATTTGTTAAACATGTATCACGCTTGTATCTCACACACATGTATACATGTATATACATGTGATACACATTTGATACAAATATGATATATATGTGATACACAAATGATACACAGTGTGATACATATCATTTTTTTCATGTCATCTTCTACTTCGAATTTTCAATTCAAACCACCTCAAAACTCCACCAAATCATCACAAAACTGAGATTCAAGCTCCTTAAGATGTATCAAATCTATTCTAATAATACTCACTAAAAAAAGCAAACATTTGACCTTTTTTGGCTACAAAAAGCTAATTGGCTAATATTAGTAATATTTTATGAATTGGCCAATTTTTGTAATAAGTTACTTATAAATAGACATAACTGGTAGTTTTCCTATAATATATGTATAGTTTATGTATAATTATTGTATATCGATTAAAAAAATAAACAGTAAATCCGGTCGGTCATTGGGGTAAAGATCCCTACCCTTTACTTCCCAAATACATACTCCCTTTCTCCGTGGGTTTTGTTTCATAAAGAAGTGACTTTTTCCCCCTTTACTTAGGCATGTCTATCGTGAAGGAAACCAAGTGGCGCACACACTAGCATAGTTTGAGAGCAGCTGTAACTCAAATACTAATGTTAAGTGTGAGAACACTTCTGGAATGAACAACCTTTATTTGCTTTCTCTACTTTTTGCAAAGACTTATTAGGGACTACTTCGTTAAGATCAGTCCGGGACTGTAATAACTCTCTTTAAGTTCCTGCATAATAATAGAAAAATTTCCTTCAAGCAAAATAAAAAAAATTGTCCCACGACTCCCGAGTTTTAGTCAGTGATAAATTTTACTTAATGTAAATAACGAGTAATAATTCTTTTTAATATTTAAACTTAGTCGAAACTTCGGAGTGCAAGGAGATATTGATTTTTTTTTATCTACCTTTTAAAAACGTTTCATACTGGAGTTTTTGTGGAACCAAATTACTTCCATGGATTTTATTGGAAGATAGTTAGTTAGTCTAAATAGTTGGGACCAAAGTGTAATTACTAGAACTTAGAGAGGTCATTATTATTATTCTAGTTTCACTGTATATAATAGTTTGTTACTTCAGTTAATAAAGTCAGTTGGAAAATTCCCAAAACTCTGTCTTCTTCTTCACGCTCAAAGCTCTCTCTAATGGCTGGATTTTGACATGGTATCGATGTAACGACCCGGCCGGTCGTTTCATAAGTTATAACCCCGTTTCTCCTATTTCTGCTTCCTGTTTCCTTGTGTGTTGTTCAGCTGTATTTCATCATATCGTGTTGGTGGTGTTGTGTTCGGAGTGGTCTTAGGGTGGAATGAGACACTTAGTCTCTTAAGTTGGTTATTTAGTTGGAAAAGTCAACCGGAAGTTGACTTGTGGGTAA